TCAACTAAACATGCCGCAACAAAGATCCCTTGTGTCACAACTAAGACCCGCACAGCCAAAATAGATAAATAAATTTTTTGTTTTTTAAAAAAAGCCAATCCCCAAAGATTACATACTGTATGATTCCATTTATATGTAACATTTTTGAAATGAAAAATTTTAGACATGGAGGACAAATTAGTGGCATGAGGAGCAGGTAGGTGGAGAGAGGGAAATTAGTGTGGTCGTAAAAGCACAACAATAGAATCCTCGTGGCTTTGGAACTGTTCAGCATTTTGTCTTTGATGGTGGATACACAGCCACACAGATGACAAACTATAGAACTAAACACCTGCACACACAATACAAATACAACTCAGGAAGTATGAGTAAGATCAGCGGACTATATCAATGTCAATTCCTGGTTGTGATTTTTCTACTGTAACTCTGCCAAATATTACCACTGGGGGAAACTGGACAAGGGGTACAAGGGATATCTCTGTATTATTTCTTACAGCTGCAATGTTAAAAAGGTGAATAATATTAATAAGCTCAAGCTATAAAAGAGACACAAAATTCTACACCCAAAGGACAGAGAATACAAATTCTTTTCGAAAACACCATGTAACATTTAAAAATATAAACCACATATTAAACCAATAAAGGAAGCCTCAACAGACTCCAAAAGACCACTATCTTGCAGACTGTGTTCCCCAAACAATAAAGCATAGAAGTTAATATATCAAGGATAGTTTTTAAAAATCAGTGACAAGCTAATCCTAAAATCCATATGGAAATGCAAGTGGTCCAGAACACACAAACAATCTTGAAAAGGAGCAATGCTGGAGGACTCATTCTTCCTGATTTCAAAATTTACTACGAAGTTCCAGTAAACAATACAATGTGGTACAGGCCTAAGGAATGACATGTACATTGATGGAATAGAATTGAGACAAGAAGTAAACACTCATGGGCTTCCCTGGTGGCACAGTGGTTAAGAATCCGCCTGCCAGTGCAGGAGACACAGGTTCGAGCCCCGGTCCGGGAAGATGCCACATGCCGCGGAGCCACTAAGCCCGTGTGTCACAAATACTGAACCTGCGCTCTAGAGCCCGCGAGCCAGCCCATGTGCCACAACTACTGAAACCCGCGCACCCTAGAGCCCGTGCTCTGCAACAAGAGAAGCCACCGCAATGAGAAGCCTGCGCACCGCAACGAAGAGTAGCCCCCGCTCACAACTAGAGAAAGCCCGTGCTCAGCAACGAAGACCCAATGCAACCAAAAATAAGTTAATTAATTGAAAAATAAATAAATAAACACTCAGATTTACAGTCAACTGATTTTTGACAAGGGTGAAAGAATAATTCAATGGGGGTTAGAACAGTGTTTTCAATATATGATGCTGGAACAACTAGATATCTGCATGCGAAAGAATAAATGCAGACCCTTACTTATACACTGTATACAAAGACTTACCAACATAGATCAAAGACCTAAATTTAAGTGCTAAAACTATAAAACTCTTAGAAGAAAAAATCATGTATTTGCCAATGGTTTCTTAGATATGACACCAAAAGCAACAATAGAAAATATAACTTGGACTGGACTTCCTCAAAAATAGTTTTGTACTTCAAATGACACCTTCAAGAAAGTGTAAAGACAACCCACACCATGGGAGAACATTTTCACAAAAGAAAATTTTTGCAAATCATATATCTAAAAAAGGACTTGTACCTAGAATATATAAAAAACTCTTACAACTCAATAATAAAAAGACAAATTTTAGAACAAGTAAAGGATCTGGGCTTCCCTGGGGGCACAGTGGCTAAGAATCTGCCTGCTAATGCAGGGGACACGGGTTTGAGCCCTGGTCTGGGAAGATCCCACATGCCACAGAGCAACTAAGCCCGTGCGCCACAACTACTGAGCCTGAGCTCTAGAGCCTGTAAGCCACAACTACTGAGTCCACGTGCCACAACTACTGAAGCCTGCGTGCCTAGAGCCCGTGCTCCGCAACAAGAGAAGCCATGACAATGCGAAGCCCGTGCACTGCAACAAAGAGTAGCCCCCGCTCACTGCAACTAGAAAAAGCCCGCACACAGCAACGAAGACCCAACACAGCCAAAAATTAATTAATTAAGGAAAAAATGAGTCAAGGATCTGAATAGACATTTCTCCAAAGAAAATATCCAAATGGACAAAAAGCACACAAGAAAATGCTCGGTACCATTAGCCATCTGGGAAATGCAAGTCAAAACCACAATGAAGGGACTTCCCTGGTGGTGCAGTGGTTAAGAATCCACCCACCAATGCAGGGGACAGAGGTTCAATCCCTGGTCCAGGAAGATCCCATATGCCACGGAGCAACTAAGCCCATGTGCCACAACTACTGAGCCTGTGCTCTAGAGCCTGCAAGCCACAACTACTGAGCCCATGAGCCACAACTACTGAAGCCTGCATGTCTAGAGCCTGTGCTCCACAAGAGAAGCCACCGCAATGAGAAGCACGCGCACTGCAACGAAAGAGTGGGCGCCGCTCACCGCAACTAGAGAAAGCCCACACACAGCAACGAAGGCCCAACGCAGACAAAAATAATAAAATAAATTAAATTTTTAAAAAATGTGGTCTATCCATACAATGGAATGTTATTCAGTAATAAGAAAGAATGAAGTACTGATAGCCCCCATGTAGCCTGGTTGGTTTCACCGCAGCAGCACCGAGGCGGCCTCAATGCGCCGAGCGCCCACACTATGCTGCTCTGCGTGACGCCAGCACTGCACACCAGGCCTGGGTCTGCACACACCAGCCCACAGGCCGCAGGTTCCTTCATGGTGGGGATGATCGTACATCTTATGTGTTCCACAAGACAGCACCGGAGCACACACAGAACAAATCTTGACCAACAAATAAAACCAAAATTTCACCCAAATAATCATATCATGCTACTCACTTATTCATACCTTTCACAGAGTCTGGAAAAGTAAACTAAGTTAACATCTACCTATTTACCCTAAATCATAACAGAGAAGTCTAGGCGGGATTTCCACCCTGTAAAAAAGAGTAAGACACTCAGGGGCCTCTGAGAACCCATCCCATCTGCAGAATCTGGTGCCCCAACCTATCTACCCCAGGGCCTGTGTGCTAGAGTCGGCCCAGCTCAACGTTCCAAGACACGGGGATTTCACAGGCTGGTTAAGTTCTTTTCTTTTTTTTTTTTTTCCCCCAATAAATTTATTTATTTATTTATTTTATCTTTGGCTGCATTGGGTCTTTGTTGCTGCGCGCAGGCTTTCTCTTGTTGTGGTGAGCGGGGGCTACTCTTCGTTGCAGTGCACAGGCTTCTCATTGCGGTGGCTTTTCTTGTTGCGGAGCACGGGCTCTAGGTGCGCGAGCTTCAATAGTTGTGGCACACGGGCTTAATTGCTCCGTGGCATGTGGGATCTTCCCGGACCAGGGATCGAACCCGTGTCACTTGCACTGGCAGGCAGATTCTTAACCACTGCGCCACCAGGGAAGTCCCAAGTTCTTTTCTTTTAATTTAGAAAACTAACAGGGTTGCCAACTTTTTCACTCTCCCAAGCCAGGAGGAGGGAGGGAGGGAAAGAGAGAGAAAGAAAAGCAGACACAAAGGGGCTTCCCAAAAATAAATTAATTAATTAAATTAAATTTTTAAAAAAGGAGGAAAGGATAAACTGTCATCTACAGTCACCTTCAATTCAGACAACAATGGCTTTTCCAATATCAAAAGAAGAAAGCCATAATATCAGGATTGAGGATTATGTCTTATTTTAAAAAAAATAGTTTTAAGAAAAGCTCACCTTTGCTCATCTCACCAATATCACATACAGACCAGCATCTGAGAACCTCTATTTACATTACCATTGACACCTGAAATAAAAATAGGTTACTCTCAAAGTCATTCACTTAGATTGACTGTGTGCCTCACTAGCTCACACCGAGGCCATTAAACCAAAAATCTCTTGTGTAGCAACATTTCTGTGCTTCCGTGCATTTTAAGAAATATGTAATCTCATCAGTGGCATCCCTTAAAGAGTTCATAGCAATGGTATTGGTTTAGGCGCAGCTAATTTCACTGCCTAAGGAACTGGTTTAAACTGGTTCTAGAACTGTTACTCAGGTAATACTGCATAGTTCTTTTCCAAACGTTTCAAGATGACTCTTTCTTTTTTAATATTTACTTATTTATTCATTCATTCATTCATTTTTGGCTGCGTTGAATCTTAGTTCCGGCACTCAGGACTTTTCGTTGCGGCGAGCAGGCTACACTCTGGTTGTGGCGTGTGGGCTTAGTTGCCCCGCAGCATGTGGAATCTTAGTTCCCCAACCAGGGATCGAACCCGTGTCCCCTGCACTGGAAGGCGGATTCTTAACCACTGGACCACCAGGGAAGTCCCTTCCAAACGTTTCTTGCATCCCAACAACTATGCACTACTCTCCAAAAAGATGCTAGCATCCTCTTAATTGGCCCTCACCTACAGGCAGGCTAATTTTCCTTCCCTAGATGACCCAGAGGCCCGCCACTGACAGCACATCTTTAGAACAAGCTACTGGCTCACAGAACTGGCGTGTTGACTTGAGACGTCTCTGGTTATATGTGAGATGCAACACAGCACAAGGATTCCCATCACATCCAGACAACAGCCTCCACAGTCTGTCTGGAATGCCAAGCAAAGTATTACCAGCATCTTCTAGACTCTTATCCAACAGCCAAATGAGAGGAACTTCAAGTTCCTCTTGAACTACCTCTTCATTTACTTCTTCTGGTTAGTATAACCATCGGACACAAGGCAGCTTCCAGAGAAATGCTGTCCATACGATCATGCAGGTCCTTGGACAAAGCCCTTCAGAAAAGAACATTCTGCAGTAGAGACTGTTGCTAAGAGAAAATGAGAATCTGAAATGCAGCCTATACCTGTCTGACCAATTGCTTTTTAAAAGTTTCACAACCGAGGTCCTGGCTCTGCTGTGTGACCTGACCTCTCGTGCCCTGGCGTCCTCACCTGTAAACGAGGGACCAAGAGCGCCGTCCACGTAGAGCTGCTGTGAGGCTGAACTGAGCTACCCCATGAAGAGCCCAGAACAGGGGCTGGCACACTTTCTCCTCAGTCTCCTGACTGCAAAGGAGAGAAGGAAACAGAGACAAGGTCACCTTGCCACAGAGCACGGGCTCACTTGCTCATGGGAGCTGACCGTGAGCCTCTCCCGGTGCCACCTTCAAGTGGCATCACACTGGTAGCTCACGTTGGACATGACAGAAGCATTAGCACTGTAGAAATCAACAAATGCTACAAGCCAGGAGGTTTTTGTGCTTTTGTTTGGTTTTTGGTTTTGACTTAAAAAATTTTTTTTTATTATTATTTTTATTTTTATTTTTGGCTGCATTGGATCTTCCTTCCTGCGCACAGGCTTTCTCCAGTTGCAGCGAGCGGGGGCTACTCTTCATTGCGGTGCGCAGGCTTCTCATCCTGGTAGTTTCTCTTGTTGTGCAGCACGGGCTCTAGGCACGTGGGCTTCAGTGGTTGCAGCACGTGAGCTCAGTAGTTGCAGCACTCGAGCACTAGGGCATGTGGGCTTCAGTAATTGCGGCACGCGGGCTCTAGAGCGCAGGCTCAGTAGTTGCGGCTCACAGGCTTAGTTGCTCTGGGGCATGTGGGATCTTCCTGGACCAGGGATAAAACCTGTGTCCCCCACACTGGCAGGCGGACTCTTAACCACTGCACCACCATGGAAGCCCCGTGGCCAGGAGGTTTTTGACTCTCCCAGAGAGCCAGATATTAAACATCTACCAACACACCACTGGAATTCTATTGGTCTGGAAAAAAGCGACAATGTGAGTCCATGGAGAGCAGCGGATACTTGCACAATCAGTCAAACAACAAACAAGACCATGTCTATACTGGGCACAGTCCACTGGGGGTGGCGGGGGGGCGGACCAAAAAGAAGGGGGTGGGGTGGGAGGAACAGGTGAATAAAAATCAGAAGTGAAAAGAATAGCCACAGGACGCCCCTCGTGGCGCAGTGGTTAAGAATCCACCTGCTAATGCAGGGGACATGGCGGAGCAACTAAGTCCGTGTGCCACAACTACTGAGCCCACGTGCCACAACTACTGAAGCCTGTGCACCTAGAGCCCGTGCTCCACAACAAGAGAAGCCACTGCAATGAGAAGCCCACGCACCACAACGAAGAGTAGCGCCCGCTCTCCGCAACTAGAGAAAACCCGTGCACAGCAATGAAGACCTGTGCAGCCAAAAATAAATAAATAAATATATTTAAAATAAGTAAATAAAAATAAAGAGTATGCTTATTTAATAGTCTGTTTCTTTTTTTAAAACACTTATTTATTTACTATTTATTTTTGGCTGCGCCGGGTCTTAGTTGCTGCACGAGGGATATTTAGTTGCAGCATGCGGACTTCTTAGTTGTGGCATGCAGACTTCTTAGTTGCGGCATGCAAACTCTTAGTTGCAGCATGCATGTGGGATCTAGTTCCCCGACGAGGGATCAGAACCTGGGCCCCCATGCACTGGGAGCGTGGAGTCCTACCACTGGACCACCGGGGAGGTCCCAATAGTCTGTTTCTGATAATCCCCAAATCTAAAATCTAAAATCTTGGGAGGGTTGTTTCTACTGGTTTTCATGCATGGTGCCTTATTCCCTTGTGTGCTTGTCCAGTTTTGTCTGTGTGCTAATCAACATCCTTAAAAAATAGTCATAGGTGTTTTCTGCATTTTCGGATGATGGTAACTTCCTCCAGAAAGGTTTTATGTTTGGTCCCATTGCTGCCTGAAGGCATTACCAAACCAGAAAACCTTAAATTCATGCTTCATTTCCCTGAGCCTGGGCTACAAATCCTCCCAAAGGCCGATCCACAGCCATAACTCTCCCCCTTTTCTCCTGCTACATTTAGTAAAAAGCTGGGGGCAAAGATGGAGTTAGGCAGGTACGCTTCTAGCTCACCCTGCCTCTGAGGGTACAGACTTTCAGAGCCCATTTAATATGAGGAGGGCCCCTTTTAGGTTCCCTACCCTGAGAGGACTTCACTTCAGAGGTCGGCAAGGACTCAGAAATCAAAGCCCCACTTTGTCCAAATCAGCAAATGTCCTTTAGGCAAAGGCAGATTCCATCCTATGGTGTTTAAATTACCTTTAAATTACCTTTCTGGGTTCTTCCTTTGTTATATTTTGGTTTAAAACTTCCTTGCAATATTGTCAGTCTTTCTGATTTTTTTCTTTTCTCTTTTTTTTCTCTTTGGCTGCATTGGGTCTTCGTTAGTGTGTGCAGGCTTTTCTCTAATTGCGGAGAGCGGGGGCTACTCTTCGTTGCAGTACACGGGCTTTTCATTGCAGCGGCTTCTCCTGTTGTGGAGCACGGGCTCTAGGCGCTCGGGCTTCAGTACTTGTAGCTCACAGGCTCTAGAGCACAGGCTCAGTAGTTGCGGCACCCAGGCTCAGCTGCTCCATGGCATGTGGAATCTTCCAAAACCAGGGCTCGAACCTGTGTCCCCTGCATTGGCAGGCGGATTCCCAACCACTGCGCCACCAAGGAAGCCCTTGATTTTTTTCTTTAATCCAACAATTTTAATTGTTTTCCACAGGGTGGGGGATGGGAGGATAGCAGGTAGTCCAAATAATCTAGCCTAACAATTACCAAATACACAAAAACACTGATGTTTTTCTGTAAAATATACCTGATACACAATTCTATACTGAAGTTTATATTCTCTCATCACTTTGAGGACTTACTCCACTCTCTAGTGGCCTCTATTCATGCTAATGAGACATCCGTTGTCAACCTAACAGACACTCCTTTGTAGGTAATCTCTCTTTTACCTCTGGCTTAAGGTCTTCTTGTCTTTGTTGTTATACAATTTCAGTGTATGGGTGTGGGTTTCCTTTTACTTATACTGTTTAGGACATAGTGTGCTTCCTAAATCTACAGATTTCTCTCTCATTAGTTTCTGAAAAGTCAACACTATTAACACTTTGAATAACGCCTCTCTTCCTTCTCCCTACTTTTCCATCCTGGGATTCCAACTACACAGTCACAGCACACTTTTATCCTACCCTCCACTTAGCTAGTCTCACTTTCCATCTCCCATCTCTCAATGCTGCACACTGGATAATTTCTTCATGTATATATTCCAGTTCACGAATTCTGCCTTCAGCCATGTTTAATTTATTTAATTCACATATATTGTTTTTAATTTCAACTTATTTTTCATTTCTGAAAGTTCTACTTGGAATCATTTTGATACCTTGGTTTTCATTACTAATTTTTATTCTATTTTGTATTTCTTCAAAAATTTCATACATTATTATATATACTGCATCTGATTATCCAATACCTGCAGACCTTGGGGTATCTAATTCTGCCAACTCCTCACAATGGTGTGTGTCCTGAATATAGAATGAAGCTTGCTTAAACGTAATCTACAGAAATCCCGAGGGCCTACACTGAGTATGCTTTGCTCTGAAAAGGATTTATCTTCTCTTCAGCAAGGAGCAAAAGAGTGCTATCATAATACTCACTGTTTCTTTTCTTTTCTTTTTCTCTTTTGGTTTTTGAAGAGTTAGCTTAATTTTTAAGCACCGAAGTGCTCCCGGGAAGTTGTACCTACTGTAATTTATCCAGCATCTAATCAGATTGCAATGGGCAAACCTTTTAGGGGCATCTACTACAGCTGGAGGCACACGCCCCTCCCCCCCTTTTCAGCTTCTACTTGGAATGTGTTCTGATGGCGGCCATAACACATATAAGCCTATCTCACCTATTCCCCACGGGTGAGACACGGCATGTTCCTCACTACATATGCATGACTGTCCCTGTTTTATTTGGATTACCCTTTGGCTTGGAGAGACCAAGTAACTTTTCCACAACACAGCATCTCAAAACCAGACACAGGAGGGTCAAGAATCCCTAAAAGTCAGGACACTATATGCACATCTTCAAAACTAAAATTCGTGTTGGCATCCATCTTCGAATGTCCCCTTATACAGTATATTTGCATAAATTACACAATAAAACAGAATCAAAAACAATTATCTTACCTTCTGGGGAAACTCCTTGTTTAAATTTTGTATTTAGGCAAAATATAAAAACATTTGGGATTTTCTCTTGGAGTATATGCAACTTTAAGAAAAATTTTTTCATTCAGTAGACTTATAATCTCTTCACCTGAAAAATAAGAGGAAAAAAACTTATTTTAAGTTCTACTTCTGTAAAGTTAACTCACCAAAATCATAGGGAAAAGGAAAACAAAAATCATTAGCTTTACTCAGTATTTAAATTATCAGAACATTTCATGATTAAGGATCTAAAAACTCCCTTGTCCATGCCTGTTCTACAGACATTGGTACCAATGATACACACCCACTTTAAATCTGGTTAACTAACTCAATGGTTGGAATTTAAGGACATGAGAAGGATCTCTGTGAAGTTGTCTAGTTTCATGCCTACACACTATAACTATCAAGAGACACATATCCTGGTCACAAGATGACTGGACGGCTCACTGATGATCCATCACAACTTCTAGAAGGAAAGTGCTCCAAAGTGCTCCAGGTGTGATCCCTAACACCATTTCCAAATAACGTGACTAGCGCTCCTTGGCGAAAGGACTGACTTCAAGGCATGCAACAAAAACACAGACCAGGGGGCTTCCCTGGTGGCGCAGTGGTCAAGAATCCGCCTGCCAATGCAGGGGACACGGGTTCGAGCCCTGGCCCGGGAAGATCCCACATGCCGCGGAGCAACTAAGCCCGTGCGCCACAACTACTGAAGCCCATGCGCCTAGAGCCCGTGCTCTGCAACAAGAGAAGCCACCGCAATGAGAAGCCTACGCGCCACAACGAAGAGTAGCCCCAGCTCACCACAACTAGAGAAAACCTGCGTGCAGCAACGAAGAACCAACGCAGCCAAAAAAATTAAAAAATAAAATAATTTATTTAAAAAAAAACAACAACACAGACCAGCAGAGCACAGGACTGTTCGTTCTGTATTTGCATGGAAGTCATGATTTTACCTTTTTCTAAAAAATTAATTTTTTTTTAAATTTATTTTTTTGGCTGCGTTGGGTCTTCGTTGCTGTGCGCGGGCTTTCTCTAGTTGCGGCGAGTGGGGGCTACTCTTCGCTGCGGTGCGCGGGCTTTTCATTGCAGTTGGCTTCTCGTTGCGGAGCATGGGCTCTAGGCGTGCAGGCTTCAGCAGTTGTGGTTTGCAGGCTCTAGAGCGCAGGCTCAGCAGTTGTGGCGCACGGGCTTAGTTGCTCCGTGGCATGTGGGATCTTCCCGGACCAGGGCTCGAACCCGTGTCCCCTGCACTGGCAGGTGGATTCTTAACCACTGTGCCACCAGGGAAGCCCAATGATTTTACCTTTTGAAAATTATACTTTAGCAATAGGAGGGGTGGCTGTTCTAGAATATAAGAGCCCTAAGAGACCTAATCATCAAATATAATATTTAGATCTTGTTTGGGTCCAATTAAAATGAATCAACTCGAAGAGTATATTTTTGAAGCTATTGGGGAAATCTGAATATGGACTGGTATTAGATGGTATTAAGGAATTACTGTAAATCTCTTAGTTGTAAAAGTGACATGACCACTATGTTTTTAAAAATAAAAACTTCCCTTATCTGTTAGAGAGAAAAAGTGAAGTATTCATGGGTGAAATGATATTATTTCTTGGATTTACTTTTAAAACACTCCACCAAAACACAAGAACCAAACAAATTTTAAAAGTGTGAGAGAGATATTACTCAGCCATAAAAAGAAACGAAATTGAGTTATCTGTAGTGAGGTGGATGGACCTAGAGTCTGTCATACAGAGTGAAGTAAGTCAGAAAGAGAAAAACAAATACCGCATACTAACACATATATATGGAATCTAAAAAAAAAAATGGTTCTGAAGAACCTAGGGGCAGGGCAGGAATAAAGACACAGACGTAGAGAATGGACTTAAGGATATGGGGAGGGGGAAGGGTAAGCTGGGACGAAGTTAGAGAATGGCACTGACATATATACACTACCAAACGTAAAATAGATAGCTACTGGGAAGCAGCTGCATGGCACGGGGAGATAATAAGCTCAGTGCTTTGTGACCACCTAGAGGGGTGGGATAAGGAGGGTGAGAGGGAGACGCAAGAGGGAGGGGATGTGGGGATATGACGCAAGAGGGAGGGGATGTGGGGATATACGTATGCATATAGCTGATTCACTTTATTATACAGCAGAAACTAACACAACACTGTAAAGCAATTATACTCCAATAATGATGTTTTTTAAAAAAATAGACAGTTCACAACATTAAAAAAAAAGTGTGAGAGAAAAAGGGACAGATTAAAAAATAATAATAATAACTGGCAAAGTACCAATCACTGATAAAGCTAGGAGATGAGTACGTGGGTGTTCATTATGTTTTCTGTACATTTGTGTATTTTAAAATTTCATATAAAAGTCAAGCAAAAAAAAAGGCACTCGAAGTTGTGCTACTAAGCCAAGAATAAGTCAGTGTTATCTCCTAAAATAGGAAAATCTTTTTACATCTGTGAAACAGAACAAAGGAAACTTCCTTTACAATAGAGTCAGGAGGCCAGAAGGGGAGCCCTCACCCACTGCTACTCAGCCTCAACCACAGACCCCCATGGAGGAAGGTTTCCCGTTTGCCCAGCAACTCAGCCAGTGAGAAACCATCACCACCCTGAACTCTCACTTTCCTCCAATGGACTTTTGTTCAAAATAGCCCCTCCCAACTTCCTCCTTTTTCTCTACAAAGTAACCTTCCTCTGCTTTGTTCGTGAGACTTGCCTACGGCTTTTGCTATTGCTTGCTTGTGCTGAATTGCAACTCTCTGCTATTCCCAAAGAAACCCATTTTGCTGGTAAAATAACTGGCTGTTTTACTTTTAAAGTTGGCACATCTAACATTTCAAAATTATTAAGCTAAATAATTCAAAATTGGCTTTTCAGCACTTTATACGCAGTTTCAAAATAAGGAAGTAAGGGCCCTAAGACCTCTACATTCTGACTTTGAACCAGTGCTTCTATAACGTACATGTTCTGGACCAATTCTACTTAGTCTAAGCTGGAGGAAACCCGAAGCAGCCGGGACATCACGGCGGACACGCAGCCAGGGAATGAGTGACACCTTCTCCTCAGGGGGCACAAATTCTGAGCATCCTCCCCGTGCTTGCACTCCCTGGCAGCGTCACCCTCTCCCACGTCCTCCCACTGCAGGTACGAGCGTTCTGTCACCAGTGTCCTCCAGCCCAGACCACGCGGGTTCTTCTTCTCAGCAGGCCCTCAGGATCTCATTCTGTAGCCTGGTTCTCCTGTGACACCTTTCTCCCAAGCCCTATCCCCACCTCCTTCCCTAAATACATGAATTCCCTTCATGTCCACCCAGGTAAGGCCACCTCTGCTCTCCTACCCAGGCATCCCGAACTAGAAAGGGGTCAGCATTCTCATAGGTCCCATCACTATCTTCTATGCTTCCTAATACCTTGATTCAAATACCTGTTTTTGATACTTTTGCTTCCGGCCAAGACGAAATAACAGGGACGAGATTTACAAATGAAATGGTTTTCAAGACACTGGCTATCCTGCAGTGACGAACAGTGATCCCTGACAGGAGGGAAACAAGAGGAGCCCTTTAACTGCCCAGCCTTCTGCCTGACAAGTAGTTCTGGGTAACAGCAGAGACACCAGGTGGGGTCCAGCAGTCCCCCGAGGCGAAGAAACAGCACTGGGAGTCCAGGAAGGCCAAGGCGCTAGAGTCCACAGGCAGAGCACTGGAAGGGACAGAGTCGTAGACAGCGCTGAGGATCTGCGGGCTCCAGCCAGGTACTGATCAACGGAAGTGTGTAAGAAAGGCATCCAAGTCAGGGATTAGTGGGAACCACCCTCCAATTTCACACGGGGCCAAGGAGAGTTACTCTTCCTCCCAGTCACAGTGGAAAATTTCCTAATTTCGGGGCATTGGACAAAGTACTCAGTAGACTTTTGCCTCAGTGGTGGGGCAAAGTGACTCAACACTGGACTCAACGTTACTCTGGTCCCACCTAACAAAGCCTAAAAGCCAGACCCACAGAATCAAACTGTTTCTGAGTAATTTAACAACATTCCAGAACAAAGGTCAAGAATATTTATAGAAATACAAAAATACCCAGCATCCAACAAGATAAAAGTCACAGTGTCTTGGCATCCAATCAAAAATGACCAGACATGCAAGGAAGCAGGAAAACACAAACCATAATCAACCTAGAAACGACACAGATGATAAAATTAATAGACAAGGACAGTTAAGCAGCTGTTGTAACCGTACTCCATATGTTCAAAAACCTAGAGGAAATATTAGACGTGTTAGAGACATGAAAGATATACGAAGACCCAAACAGAATCATAAATATACTCTTAATCCAAAAAAAGGCAGAAAAAGAGGAAAAGGGAACAGAGAGCACACTGCCAGCCTCGACACCAGGCCACGTTAAGTGGGGCCACCACTCAACACAGTCTCAGTTCTCTTTCCTCATCCCCACCCACCTCCCCAACCACACCAGCACCCACTGCTTCTTAAATATGCTGCTTCTTAAATACAGCTGACACCTTGGCACCTGGGTCCCCTCTGCCTGGAAAACCCTTCGTCACATCTTCCTACCTGGCAAATTCCTGTCTGCTCCTCAAGTCCAAAATTCACCAAAAACCACTTGTCAGGTCACTGAGTCCTTCCTCAGTGCTCTCACAAGAGCACTTCCAGAGAATCAACACACTATAATTATCTAGTTTTACGTATCTTTATTTATTCTGAATTATGAAAAAATTTAAAATATAAAAAGGTCCAGAGAAGAATATAACAAATATCCATGTATTGGGATTTAATAAATGTTACCATTTGCTCACATATGCCGCCTACTTTAAAAAAAATAGTTTCTAATACACTGAAGAATTGACAACCTATTCAACTCCCTTCATCCACAGAGATAATCATTAATTCTCAGTATCCATAACTTCATTCTTTTACTACTTACATAACTATAAGTAATGCATTATTTTAAGAGTATATTTAGGACTTCCCTGGTGGCACAGTGGTTAAGAATCCACCTGCCAACGCAGGGGACACAGGTTCGAGCCCTGGTCCGGGAAGATCCCACACACCACGGAGCAACTAAGCCCGTGCGCCAC